GGAACTCCACGCATGCACTTGCCCCTTGCTTTTGCAGCCTGGTTCCGAACACGTCAAGGCCTGCTAATGGGCTGTGGCCTGGGGGTTGGGGACCCCTGATCTACCAGATGAAACCCAGTGGCAATTTGTTAACAACATTGGTTGCCGAGCATTTGAATTTTGATCACATGCCCATAGAGATGCTGTAATGGTCGTGAAAAAAATGGCCATAAGTTATTTTTTTCAGTGCCGTAACTTTGAACAGTTGCTAAATGAACTGTTGTAAGTTAAGGACTAGAAAGTTTTGATTGTTGTTAGAATAATGAGAGTAGATTGACAATCATGGTATATGGAAGATTGCAACTGGGAATAAATGAGAATTGAGTTGGCAAATAGAATGAATGAAAATAGATGCATGTAAAACCAAGAAAAAGAAGCATGTGATAAATCTCAGAATATGGTGCCATGAAGTTCCTTTCCAAATGAAGGAAGGTAGGTTTATCATGAATTAAAGAGCGAATGTATACGACAGAAATCTGCTTTAGATCTTTAGTTTTTGTGGGAACATATGCTAGCAGAAATAGATTTGTGAGAGTTGTGTGTTAACAATGGGAAAAAAACCCAGAAATAACCTAAGGGGAAAAAATGTAACAAACGAAAAGCAAACAACTGCAGGAATGGAAAGTATGAATTCTATATTAAAATGTATTAGATGACATTAATCTCCCAAAAAACAATGGAAAATATATATAAGAAAAGAATATGGGGGATGCTTTCAACAGCATGGAAAAATGGTATCACCCATTGTTACAAGAATGTGTGATCCTAATGAGAATGACGAAAAAGGATGGCTGGTGGGCCTGTGATTGAAGAAAAATAGCGTATAAGAGAATGCTGAAAAAGAGAGAGATGAAAGAATATTGTAGGAAGAAGGCTCCATGAAGAAAGAAAGTTTTGATTCAAATGCAAAGGAGCTCCTCTCTTCCCATCTCCCCACAAACCATTAATTATAAAAATAATTTCAACTACACAGAGTTCTCCAAATTGCCTGGTTAAACTGGAAGAACTACAAAGAAACATAGGACCCAAGGCAGCAAATTAGGAGAACTTGTTGCAATTGGTGTAAGACCTAAACATATTTCGCCATTCTTTAAGCCAGAGTTTGCAAGGATGAAAGGCAGGAGAAACAGAGAAATGATAGCAGAGAAATAATATGGATGAGAACAGAAAAATAAGGAGGCTTGACCCTTGATTTTTAACAATTTCCCAAACCAAATCAGCTTTAATTGAAATAATTCCAGGAAGAGGAAAAAGAAATGCCATCTGGCTATCTTTTCTTAATATCCCTAATACTTATATTTTCTGCATCAAAAATAAATAGATGACTTATGTGTGTGGTATATTTTCAGTTTCTTCTAATAATTGGTTTAGGAATTATTTAGGCTTTAGGAATTCTTATTAGGAATTCGTCTTGACTGCCCACATACTGTCACGCTATTATCATTAGCATCTGAATTTAATCAAGCATTTAAAAATAATCATTTTGTACCTTGTAGCATAATATAACATGAAATTACAATGCTCTGAAGGATCCCCTAATTCTCTAGAAAACGTTTTGGTAGAGAGAAATAGAGAATTGCCCCCTCCAATTTTACTTCTGGAGGTCTTTTTCTAGGTGGGGATTTATTCGTATCAATTACAGCCCACCTAACAGGGTTGTTATTATGGTGAAAACAGGAGGAAGAAGTTGTGTTGGATATGTTTGCTGCCTTGAGTTATTTGTAAAAATAATAAAAGTGGAATACCAATAAGTAAAAATAAAATGTAACACCCATCTTTCACAAATAACTCTTATGTAACTTACAAGATTAATAACAACCCCCCCCCCAAAAAAAAATCCCTCCTTTCCTGGTACTCAAAGATAGACACATAGAACAATTAATTGCCTATGGTAACAGAGCTCATCTCCACCCTGGGGAACAGCCAGGTCTTCAAGGCCTTATGGAAGGCTCACAGGATTGGGGGCTTCTGAATCTCCAGGGAGGGGGTTATGCTGTTCCACAGAGCAGATGCTACTACTGAGAGGACACAGATCGGGGTCCAACAAGGTGACATTGTTTAATAGAAGGGACCTACGAGGTTTGCAATAGTGGCGAATATCTGTAACTCAGCTGTAGGATGAGGATCAAGGTTCATTCTCTGTTGTGGCCCAGCAGGAGCCGTTGGAGCTGCCATCAGACTCCGACAGCGAGGGGCCCTATGAGTCGGCTTTGGAGGATGTGGAGGACCCTGGAC